TCATTTCTATTGAAAACACATTATCACAGCATGATATATCAAACCTCACCAAAACTCACATCTGTTAATATGTCAATGCTTCAAGGGCAAATTTGGTAATAGTGCCAGTTAATGAAAAGTATCTACTGACCATCTGGAGCCGTTTTCAAAGCTGATTAATAGATAACATGCAGAAATGTAATCATGTTTGTGTGCATTTTAAATGTTTTGGGATTACAGAAAAAATACAGAAGAGAAGAGAAGAGAAGAGAAGAGAAGAGAAGAGAAGAGAAGAGAAGAGAAGAGAAGAGAAGAGAAGGCAAGAGAAGAGAAGAGAAGAGAAGAGAAGAGAAGAGAAGAGAAGAGAAGAGAAGAGAAGAGAAGAGAAGAGAAGAGAAGAGAAGAGAAGAGAAGAGAAGAGAAGAGAAGAGAAGAGAAGAGAAGAGAAGAGAAGAGAAGAGAAGGCACGTCTCGTGGGACACTTGTCCTCAGTGGGTTTGCAGTGACTGATGTGAGCTGTATAGAGGAGAGCTGGCCGTGGACAGACTGAGATTTAAGGTGACAGTGATTAAGTGGCAAGAGCAACAGGCCTTGAAGAAAAAGAGAGATGGTACATCAGCAAAAAAAGGCTCAAACACACTCATCCAGGAGTAGATGAAGAAATGTGCTTCAGAGAGGACTGAACTTCACCAGGGTAGCCAGATACAACAGAGATGGATGTTAAGAATGAAGGGGATTAGGGGAAGGAGTAGGCAAGGACAACACAATAATAACAGACACAACCTGACATGTGGATATAAAATGGTCCACACTACAAAAGTGCACATGTATGATCATAAATCACAAGTACAGCAGCTTTACAAGTAGACCATAGCTTTAGAAAAACACAATTCTGAAAGTCTACAACTGGCATCTTAAATCTCCTCAGTCTTCTTAACCTTCTTAATTTAATTTTCTGAGATTTTCCACATTTCTCAGTGCTGAAGTCCACTGCATCACAAACTCTTACACATCTCAAATGTAATTCTTTAAAGAGAAGGAGTTGATGTTTAGCCATTAATGAGTGACAATCATTTTACTGTTCAATGATGAACACATTTTTGAATTTCTGAATTAAAATGAAAACTTTAAAATAGGGACATAAAGTCAGAATATCATGATGTTACAATCCTGCTTAGATAATAATAAAGCACATTTTTTTAAAAAGGCTAAAAGTCTTACAAATTTCCTAATACTTGAAACACAAAACTTAAGTCAGGGTAATCAGATCAACAAGTTTCAGTTTCAACAAAATACCAGATAATTTTACTAGATGGCAAGGTTAGTTCAGGTTGTGAAAATGAGCAACCTCACTTACATTCTGTCGTTCATGGTGACAGAAGCACGTTAATAGTACAACATCAACCACCTTAATCTAATTAATTTTACTTCCACACCCAAAGAACATTAAAAAAATGAGACACAAACTTCAGTTCTACAAAGGTAGACTTAATTACACATACTGTCCTAAACCCGTTTTGCACACTTTTACAGATTAGCCAAGTTATAACCCAGCTGCAAAGCATAATGGGTAATGGGTGGCAATACTTTTTTATTTGATGCTTATACCACTTCAAATTTCAGTGTTTATTTATCTTTAATGTACTTAAATATTTTCTTGAAAATAGTATAAGAATACTATAAACATAGGTTGTGGTTAAACCCATTTCTGGCTCCTAAATGATGCTCACCTTCTCTAACTGAGCAGAGGCTCTCTATTTAGACAAGCTTTTTAAAGCACAGCATGACAATGAATGTGCAGCCAAAGCATTCAGAAAGCGAGAGAAGCAAAGAAAATGTGTTTGTGGCACAGCAAGGCTTTTGCATATAATCTGAGGGAATAAACGTGCATGTCTTTTTCAGTCATATAGCTAGATGCTCAAATCTGCACAATGAGCTTTACAGACTATGTTCCCAGACTTGATGACCCCAGAGTTCTGCAGTCAGAATAACAGCTCAGAATATCATTGAATGTTATTATCATGACATGTATTTCTCCACTCCACACTGATAATCTGCACTGCTTCCAGAAAGGATGATAACATTGCTGGTATTTTCAGGAAAAATGCATAATCCATTAAAAATCTTGTTTCCAGTTCATTGGTATGTTTCTCATAAAGCATTAAAGCACTGGTGATGCATTCCCAAGTTCCTAACAGTAGAGCACAGCGCCAGCAACAGCAAGGTTGTGGGTTTGATTCCCAGGAAATGCATGAACTGCTACAATGTAAACCTTAAAATATAAGTTGCTTTGCCCATGCATACATGTGTTTTTTTTCTGTTTACCATTAAAATACTGAGAAGAAGTGAACTAATAGGGGGGAAACTTTCTGAGAAAAATCTCTGCTTGAGACTTACCTGAGGGAGAAAGTATCCAGGTTGGCTGAGCTCCTCACATACACATAAAAAGAGGCAATATCAGTCTTCTTAAGTGGTTTTGAGGAGGTCTGGATGACCACAGCCTCTCTCAGTCTGAGCACAGACACCGGCATGGCCCCCTGTTTGACCTGCAGGAGCCGAACACTCCCGATCCTCTGTATGGGGGTCACAGGTATGTACTCAGCTTGAGGCTGGCCAGCATTTTCATCACCCATATCCCACCTCTTGCCCTCCTCCCCACTGGCTGTGCATGGGCCGTAGGCGCTGGGTCGGGCCTGATAATACAGCTCCACAGGATTCCCCTGCGTTGGCCCTTGTCTTTCCCGACTGGAACTGCCTTCAACTGGGCTGAACCAACCTTCAGGAGGATCAACCTCTGCCATGCAGGTCCCATTCTCATTTCCAATGACACAGGAGCCCCGAACCTCTTGAGTCTGCCAGAAGGCATACACAGTCACACAAGGCAGTTCATCTTTCATTTCTTTGTCCTTCTCTCCTCTGTCCCAGTCTCTTCCAGCCACGTAAAACAGGACTCGCACTTTGGGAGAAGATGAATAGACCCATCTGGTCAGGACAAAGGATTGGACTTTCCAACTGAGGGTGAAAACTGGTGGTGACGGCTGGAATAACTGCTCTGACTGCACTAAGTCCAGGGGGATCTCCCGTTTGGGCACGTCTCGTGGGACACTTGTCCTCAGTGGGTTTGCAGTGACTGATGTGAGCTGTATAGAGGAGAGCTGGCCGTGGACAGACTGAGATTTAAGGTGACAGTGATTAAGTGGCAAGAGCAACAGGCCTTGAAGAAAAAGAGAGATGGTACATCAGCAAAAAAAGGCTCAAACACACTCATCCAGGAGTAGATGAAGAAATGTGCTTCAGAGAGGACTGAACTTCACCAGGGTAGCCAGATACAACAGAGATGGATGTTAAGAATGAAGGGGATTAGGGGAAGGAGTAGGCAAGGACAACACAATAATAACAGACACAACCTGACATGTGGATATAAAATGGTCCACACTACAAAAGTGCACATGTATGATCATAAATCACAAGTACAGCAGCTTTACAAGTAGACCATAGCTTTAGAAAAACACAATTCTGAAAGTCTACAACTGGCATCTTAAATCTCCTCAGTCTTCTTAACCTTCTTAATTTAATTTTCTGAGATTTTCCACATTTCTCAGTGCTGAAGTCCACTGCATCACAAACTCTTACACATCTCAAATGTAATTCTTTAAAGAGAAGGAGTTGATGTTTAGCCATTAATGAGTGACAATCATTTTACTGTTCAATGATGAACACATTTTTGAATTTCTGAATTAAAATGAAAACTTTAAAATAGGGACATAAAGTCAGAATATCATGATGTTACAATCCTGCTTAGATAATAATAAAGCACATTTTTTTAAAAAGGCTAAAAGTCTTACAAATTTCCTAATACTTGAAACACAAAACTTAAGTCAGGGTAATCAGATCAACAAGTTTCAGTTTCAACAAAATACCAGATAATTTTACTAGATGGCAAGGTTAGTTCAGGTTGTGAAAATGAGCAACCTCACTTACATTCTGTCGTTCATGGTGACAGAAGCACGTTAATAGTACAACATCAACCACCTTAATCTAATTAATTTTACTTCCACACCCAAAGAACATTAAAAAAATGAGACACAAACTTCAGTTCTACAAAGGTAGACTTAATTACACATACTGTCCTAAACCCGTTTTGCACACTTTTACAGATTAGCCAAGTTATAACCCAGCTGCAAAGCATAATGGGTAATGGGTGGCAATACTTTTTTATTTGATGCTTATACCACTTCAAATTTCAGTGTTTATTTATCTTTAATGTACTTAAATATTTTCTTGAAAATAGTATAAGAATACTATAAACATAGGTTGTGGTTAAACCCATTTCTGGCTCCTAAATGATGCTCACCTTCTCTAACTGAGCAGAGGCTCTCTATTTAGACAAGCTTTTTAAAGCACAGCATGACAATGAATGTGCAGCCAAAGCATTCAGAAAGCGAGAGAAGCAAAGAAAATGTGTTTGTGGCACAGCAAGGCTTTTGCATATAATCTGAGGGAATAAACGTGCATGTCTTTTTCAGTCATATAGCTAGATGCTCAAATCTGCACAATGAGCTTTACAGACTATGTTCCCAGACTTGATGACCCCAGAGTTCTGCAGTCAGAATAACAGCTCAGAATATCATTGAATGTTATTATCATGACATGTATTTCTCCACTCCACACTGATAATCTGCACTGCTTCCAGAAAGGATGATAACATTGCTGGTATTTTCAGGAAAAATGCATAATCCATTAAAAATCTTGTTTCCAGTTCATTGGTATGTTTCTCATAAAGCATTAAAGCACTGGTGATGCATTCCCAAGTTCCTAACAGTAGAGCACAGCGCCAGCAACAGCAAGGTTGTGGGTTTGATTCCCAGGAAATGCATGAACTGCTACAATGTAAACCTTAAAATATAAGTTGCTTTGCCCATGCATACATGTGTTTTTTTTCTGTTTACCATTAAAATACTGAGAAGAAGTGAACTAATAGGGGGGAAACTTTCTGAGAAAAATCTCTGCTTGAGACTTACCTGAGGGAGAAAGTATCCAGGTTGGCTGAGCTCCTCACATACACATAAAAAGAGGCAATATCAGTCTTCTTAAGTGGTTTTGAGGAGGTCTGGATGACCACAGCCTCTCTCAGTCTGAGCACAGACACCGGCATGGCCCCCTGTTTGACCTGCAGGAGCCGAACACTCCCGATCCTCTGTATGGGGGTCACAGGTATGTACTCAGCTTGAGGCTGGCCAGCATTTTCATCACCCATATCCCACCTCTTGCCCTCCTCCCCACTGGCTGTGCATGGGCCGTAGGCGCTGGGTCGGGCCTGATAATACAGCTCCACAGGATTCCCCTGCGTTGGCCCTTGTCTTTCCCGACTGGAACTGCCTTCAACTGGGCTGAACCAACCTTCAGGAGGATCAACCTCTGCCATGCAGGTCCCATTCTCATTTCCAATGACACAGGAGCCCCGAACCTCTTGAGTCTGCCAGAAGGCATACACAGTCACACAAGGCAGTTCATCTTTCATTTCTTTGTCCTTCTCTCCTCTGTCCCAGTCTCTTCCAGCCACGTAAAACAGGACTCGCACTTTGGGAGAAGATGAATAGACCCATCTGGTCAGGACAAAGGATTGGACTTTCCAACTGAGGGTGAAAACTGGTGGTGACGGCTGGAATAACTGCTCTGACTGCACTAAGTCCAGGGGGATCTCCCGTTTGGTAGAGAGTGGGCCATAGCTGGCGTTGATAACTGGGAGACGTCCTGCTCGGAGCATGACAAACGGCTGCGTGTGGCTCTGCATGCTGGAATTTCGCATGATGTCCTGTCCAGCCTCTTTTAAGAGAAAGTAGTCAGCATCCCATACCTGGTAAGTTACAGGAAGGAACAACGGATATGGGGTGGAGGATTTGGTGGCATCAGAGATATCCTGACTGTCCAGCTCTGCAGGAGAACAAAGACACAAATGAAAAAATAGAGAAATTAGGTGTAATGTTGTCTTCATTAGTTGTAATGTCAATGGGTCTGTATAGTGCTGTGCACCACCAAAATATCTCTTTGTTTTTGGTTTTGGATCTTGCCTATGACCATCCAACAACGGGAACCCCCAATCTTGGAAGCTATACAGTTTGGCCTGGTAAGTACTTGGATGGGAGGCTGCCTTAAATAATAGGTGCTTTAAGTCCCTGCCTTGGGCCTGAAATGCTGGGATAGGCTCCAGCATATCTGTCATCACTACATAGGACAAGCAGTTTCGAGAATGGATGGATGGATGTTTTGGATGTCTATGATGGCCATGGTTTTTCACATCTGGTTATTTATAATGAAAAAATATATATATTTGGCAGTATTAAATTAACACTACTTTCAATTGTATGACTTTCATCCCATTATATCACATAAACTGGCCCAGAAAGAATTTGTACACTTTATGACACTTATATCAGACATTATCACACTTAGAAATGCATGTGTGTATCATAGGAACATGTCTGCCATGAAAATATTTTTAATATCCCAATTTAAATCTCCCAGCATGCCAAAGTCACACAACACTGCCGCCCTGCCTACACCATTGACTGTTTTCGATCAAATTTAGCAATCTTCTAATTAAGCATTTGACTCAAAAATATATTAATTTTCCAACATTTTTTCTTGTAATGTTATTCACACAGCTGAGCTCATTAAGTAAAATGTGACCCTGGACCACAAAACCAGTCTTAAAGGAACACTCCACTATTTTTTAAAATAGGCTCATTTTCCAACTCCCCTACAGTTAAACAGTTGAGTTTTCGAAATCCATTCGTTTTCGAATCCATTCAGCCGATCTCCGGGTCTGGCGGTAGCACTTTTAGCTGTAGCTTAGCATAGATCATTGAATCTGATTAGACCGTTAGCATCTCGCTCAAAAATGACCAAAGAGTTTCTATATTTTTCCTATTTAAAACTTGACTCTTCTGTAGTTACATCGTGTACTAAGACCAACGGAAAATTAAAAGTTGCGATTTTCTAGGCTGATATGGCTAGGAACTATACTCTCATTCCGGCGTAATAATCAAGGAACTTTGCTGCTGTACCATGGGTGCAGCAGGCGCAATGATATTACACAGCGCCTGAAAATAGGCTTATTGGAAGTTACCTAGCTGGGGACTATTTTCAGGCGCTGCGTAATATCATTGCACATTTGGCTTGGAGTGCAGAGTTCACGTAAGGGACTCTGTGCTAGCCATCAGCAGGACTGGATGCATTAGCATTAGCAGTTGTGCAGGTCAACAGGTCAGCATCCATTCTATTTACCCTCCATTTCAGCAGATGACATAGATAACATCTGGCTGGATTGTGGATTCAACTCTAAATCCGTAGGTATGAGGGGCTAATAAGCCTGCTAGCCACACTCTGGGGAAAACAGTGTTAAGGATGCATGCTTAAACAGTGAGATAAATGCTTTGTGCGTTTAGATACTGATATGCTCAGTACGTTTACTGTGCATGTTTAATGTATATATGGGCAGTTACATGAGAGCATTAAAAATATATATATATAGTGATAAATAGCATGACTATGGCAGGACAAAAGGTTGTCACTGCCATATAGAGAGGTCGAGCAGAGATAAATAGTACTATTTTGATTTAAAACATCAGAGACAAACCACTTGAAAATACATAGTAAATAAAATAACTCAGATTCTATGCATCCATGCATTATGTATTACTGTATGTGCTTAGCAAAATTGCTTTAACAGCAAAAGGCCTTTAACAGGTGTTACTGATGTACTAGATCAGGGCTTCTGAGCTGGTTTTGCTTCAGGAGCCATAGTTTACATCTGAAATCAATTGATGACCCAACACAATACCAAATTTGCAACAAAATGTCCTTAAACGTCCTTAAAATATATGATTATTATTGTTTATTATATGTACTAAATCAATAATTAAAAACTATAACTTCACAAGATTAGTTGATATCTTATTAGTTGCATTTAGTTTCACTGTACTAGATATTTACTGGAGGTCTGGACCAACCTGAAATGTGGAAATCATTTTTCATTTTTTAAAGTAGTTTTGAAAACACTGAAAAAATCACCATGCTGTGAGAAGACAGTGAAAAGACTCAGAGGACTACAAACAGTTTAGCTGACAGCACAGATGTGCATCCTCTTGAGACACATCAACAGTTGCCTCTCTTCTTCCAAATACCTCAGACGTCTTTGAGTAAAACTGGAAATGACACTCTTTCTTGCTATGAAACTTTAACACCCCATCCTCACCATATGATTTAAATAAAATAAAAATTAATTATCTTCTTTTGACACAGATTGACACACTCAGTTACTTTTAAAGGAAACAAGTCTGTAAGTTTAGTAAATTGGAACATTACTTCTGGTAAATAAATACTAATTTACATTGACATTTTGCAAGCCATTTAGAGATCATCTATGAATTTCCAATACATAACGTTTATCTGTGTTTATCAAACATCTTGTTAGGGTAAAACAGGCAAATTAAGCAAATGCAATCCATTACAATGAGATTCAATGCAGCAGTTACAGTACCATTTATGCTTCAGGACGAACAAGCACAGATTGCAGAGAAGAGGCCATTCACACTGACCAATTGGGGACTTGATGCTGGACGAATTTCATACTGATGACATAAATATAATATTATGACAGCTGTTAGTATATAGCAGATCCTTTCTGTGATTATACTACATTATTATATTGTCAACAAGCAAGCTTGCTCACTACCTTGTAAGTCTGCACTAACCTTTATAATACATCCTTAATGCCAAATATCACCACAGTAAATTCTAAGCAGGTGATTTAACGGGATCCTACTGACAAAGACTTGAAATGGAGATCCGATGGGGTTAAAGAAATCTCAAAAGACAATATTAAAATTAATGTAAAACATATGGCTGCATATGACCCTATGGCACATATATAAAGTAATCTGATATCAGTCGAACCTGATACATCCTAAAGAAATATGCCTCAAAAATAAGATATTTTCATTAATTTGTACTTGGGCAACTATGAACATTTAGCACAACATCATACTGGGTCTTGAATGCAAGCAAAGCTTTTGATATCTTTTCCCCCTTTCTCTCTTTTCCACCATCAATATTCATCATGCACGATTTGACTGCTTGAATTTTAAAACAAACATATAATATTCGGCACTGAATGCATTTAAGTGAAGCTATTGCACTGCACAACCTTATGACTGATGGTGAGTTGAACATGAAATATCTCAAATTTGATTGGTTGCTTGATGCTTTCGCTTCTTTTGGAAATGATTTAAAAAATATATATATAAATGAACTGAACAAATTTTATCTGAAATGTAAGACACTCAATATTAACTTAGAGCTTGTATAAAGCATTTCACTAATACTACAAGAAGGGCACTCTTACTTGTGTGATATCATTTACATATATATGTTTTTGTTGACCAATAACACAAAAGTGATTTTAAAATGTCTTAAAACACCAATGAAGATAGAGGACACACACAGCACAGATGTCTCAGCCCCTATGAATGAGTGAAGCTGTAGAAACACTGTTTCTGGGACAGGATGAGCACTAATCCTATCCATGCCTTTAGAAACAAGCACTCATTGCAAAAAATACTACAGAAGGGACTGAGAAAAAATTGAGAAATGGGAAACTAAAGAATGAGAAGTGAACAAAGACCTTTGAAGAATGGCTGGGAATAGATCTGTATCCAGTAATGCCAATAAAACTTCAAATAGAACCTCTTTGAAAAATCAGTTTTATAGGGATTTCATCTTCATCATGCCTTTATCCAGGATACTGAGGTCTTGAAAGCAAAGCAGTTTCTGCAGCTAAGTACCTTACAGATGGATAATATATAAATGCATGTCTGTCAGAAAGATTGTGCCCATTCATAATAGTGCATTTGCCAATGCTGCAGAAGAAATCACACATTCCCTTATATAAATTTGACCAGCTGCACCAATTGAGTCACTTTCCGCAGATCATTTGCTTTAATATGTGGAACACAAAAGGAGTTACTATCAGGATATCAATGACAATGCATTATGAGAAATGTCAAGTTCAGTTGTGTTTTGCATGCAAATTTATATCGGACATGAGTAACATCTTAAGTAAACGTACTGCTTTTCCTTTGGATATGAAGTATCTTGCCTAGGGCACCAAGTGAGCCATAAATGACCTCTCTCAAAAAAGGTGTATGATGAATTCTTGCATGGGGAAAGTTTTTATTACAATAAATTTAATTATCAGTTCAACTGATTGTCGATGTTATGACATTGCTCTATGATTTTAATAGCTGGATATACTGTTTAGTGTACTAAGAAGGTTTATTTCATGAAAGATAACAGTTTATCAAACCGATAAAATAAGTTTTAAAAAAGGGGGGGGGGGG